CAGTTGTCAATCCATTATGTGGAGTTGTCAATCCATTATGTGAGGTTCTTAATCCATTATGTGAAGTTGTCAATCCATTATGTGAAGTTGTCAATCCTTTACTGTATGTGAAGTTGTGAATCCACTATGCGTTGGGACCGTCGAGCTTTACGGCCCGTGAAGTTCTATTTCGATTTGGAAACAAATAATGGGGAAAAAGACGGAGAAGTTTGTTTCTTGTTTTTCCTGCTGAAAACGAAAAGTAATCTTGTTTGAAATCTTAATCCCAATTAATCCCACGTAAATTCGCGGTGTCACGGACATCTCTAAACACTTCTCAACTTAAAGGTTGCTTTTGAGCATGTACTAAATTTCCTTGTGAGGTGCTGCTCCTTTTACTTTATAAGCAACGAATTCTTTGTATTCCTCTAAGACCTTTCTTACATTATGCAATGGAAAATGGAACTGTTTTTCATTTTTGGAGCAATAGATTACGTCGTTGTTCGTTTTCACTTTGAAAAACGAAAAAAAGAATGTGATTATCGTTTTTCAATGAAAAAGCGAGAAACGACTTTTTTCACATCGAAAAACGAAGAACGACTTGTTTTTCGACTTTCATTTTCGTACAAAATGTCAAGTTTTCCATAGGTTTGTGTACAAACATGGATGCGCCCAGCAGGGATCCCTTTGTACAGGAGTCATCGCTCTAGTTTTATTTTATAAAAAGCTAGCCCTATGGTCCGGTTGAGGCAAATAATTCATGGTATGTGACTAACATAGGCCGATCCATTGAGCCCCGCCCACTGCGCAGGTGGGCACATATACAACGTACTCTTTCCAGTGCCATCCACGTACATGTATGTTTCAGCGGGACATTTTGTTTGTGCCCGTGCGAACTCAAGATGTCTGGTGTCTTAGATGTACATGTACATGTACACTGGTGGCTGTTTCGCGTAAACACTGCTTATTGGGGGGTTTGGAAAATTACGGTTTTTTTCAAACGTCAGACTTCTTTGCCAGCGAAAATACCCGTAACAATGCCAGCAACTATTGGTCCTTTAGGCAATATGGTAATTTTTTAAGTGTCTGTTTTAAAAACGGCAGTAAGTTAGTTTGGTCGTACATTTAAAGCTGCGCTCACTTTGTAAACAGAAAAGATTCTCACTCTTCCCTCTGCCGCATGTCGGATTTCAATAAATTTCAGGGGCCTAGTCAATATATGAATGAATTTTATTTAGTTCAATTTTTCCTGAGAGTGTGTAAAATTAAAATAATTTTATTGATGATTTTTTCCATTGTTGGCTCATCGAAACCAGACGGAAAAACACATGGACAGTTTGGACATCATATTTACTGACAAAACTCTATCGCATGTCCTGGTGGGATTCTAAAGGTTTACATACTGAACAAATCACGATTGAACCGACCCCTAAGTGAAAATATTGCTAAAACGAGACCGTAGACAATAGGTGTAAAAATGAATTAAAAACAAACACACACAAAACAGATTAACACTATCGCTTTTGAGTGGGTTAGTTACTAAGAAAATAGTCAGTTATTTCTGGAAATGATATTCTTGCATTTTTTGTATATTTTTTGGCTTGTTTTCGGGGAGGGAGGCTGAGGGTTTAACCATCATCCCATGAGAAAAAGGTTATGTTGACCAGAAATGCACAGCATGTAGCATCACATTACCCTCCTGAAGCGCCGCCATTGTTCGGCCGCGCATTTTGTGCACAAACAATGGGCGATGTCCAGTCTTTGGAGATCAATGGATAGGACCATTGAGCAGAGGTAGAATGTGATTCTACCTCCATGATAGGACAGACTGTCAAGCGTGCACGAGTTGGAAGGAACAGTTACTTTATTCGTGACTTATAGAAATAATTCCATGATTAGTCCATGGCACCTCTTATAAAATAAGATGCAGAAGAGAAAAATATTACAATTCATTTGAACGCTTTTAGCCTACAATGCAGTCAGGGAAAGATGTTGGAGACAAGCTGCAACGGGGAAAAATGGTCTGTAAAGAGCATAGACTAGCTTCCTCATTACGTCGCTACCACTCTATTGCAATTTTTACAGATTGAGTGTAACCAGACTAGAAGTTAGAATCGCTAGTTGGTGTACCTGGTTCTAGAGCAGACTACCAGTTGCTGTAAATTTGACCTGCAGAAAAGTCATGTGATTTGACGGCTAGAGCTAGCAAGGGCATCACCGGCGCCTTGTACACAACATGCAGAAACGTAACAAGCACTGATCATGTGGCGATGAGTAGACAACGTGATAATACTATGGATAGCTAGGCATGCTAGGAGTGCAGTGGTTCCCGATCATCATTATCATGAAGTGAAATGTTGTAACTTTACCTCCATTCTTGTACATGTATCATACATTGTGTAATCGAGCGAGCGAATCGAGAAGGAAATGGTGTAGGGCTGTTGCCTAGCCTGCTTCAGCATGTTCAGTGAATCACAGATTCTCATCATTCATGTCATTCTGTAGGACTAGGTTCCACTAATAATGCCAGGAAATAACCAAGACACGAGGATGGCTGTAAGTGTTCTAACTTAAGCACTTCGTACACTAGCACTAGTCATGCTAGTCCTAGCAGTTTTGCATGGTTAGGACATGAGAATGAGCATATTAGAATTCTGTCCTGAAAATTTTGAAAACCTAGGTACGCTAGGCGGTAGCCCCAGTGGTGTGGCACGGACTCTCACTCCGAACCATCCTTGGCCACACATCCATATACGCAATTTCGTGTCGGCGTATTTAACATTCCGGCGCACCCACTTATCATCGTGGGCACAATTCCTTTTGCACACGAACATGATTCTTGACCTTTCCGCTTTCTAAAAACCATTTATTGAATGATTTCACTCACGTTATTCAGGTATTTTCCAGTCTTTTTGCCTTTATCCATTCAATCTAAGGGACTCGCTCTCTCAGTTGCCATCTTTAAAATAAGGTCGTTGAGCATTACGTCACTTGACCCCTCATCGTCTCGACGGCTGTTCCATGTCAAGATACCTAAACTGCTGCCAAAGTTTTGGAAGAGCCCATTGGTACATGTATCTTATCGCTCAGTCTGTGTATTACATATGCTGCCAAAAATGTACTGAAGAAATTTTTTCCCTAAAGTCCCCAAAAATGTAATCTTATTCCACTAATGATAAACTTTGATAGTTTTCTCCATCTTTTGATTGTAAATTCTATCGAAAACTGGACTGCTCGCGCGCCGCACAGCTCCGCTTGCGTCTGCGGCCTGTTTGTGCAATCGCTGGTGAACATGCCTAAAGCTACATTCTTCCTATGCCTATGCCCGCTACCAGCTTTAACACGAGGCCGTTAGTCTTTTTTCAAGGCGGAGATGGAAAATTTGAGAATTGGTCTTAATTTTGACCTTCACTTCACTCAGTAGGTTGAGTAGAATTTCTTTTCTTCATGGCAGAAATGAAGGATGAAAAGTAGTCAAAGATTTGTGTTTTTGGCAGAGTGAATGACGGTAATCATGGTGCATATCTCACAGACTCAAACCCGAAGCATCTGCAAAGAAACGCTTGCAGTCGGCCCACAGGTCCGTATGCCTGTGCACCCACAGAGAGCGGTAGATGGATGCAGGACTATTAGAAACATGCATGAATTGGAACACCAATCTCCACCTGGGCCAATGCCATTGCCGATCTCGCCAGCTTCTCTTTCTTATGAATGGTTTAAGTTTAGTTGGCAAACCCTGGAAATGTTTTTGACTTTAAATAACTTCGGATTGCTGATTTTATGTCAAGGTCTGTGGGATTTAGGGAATTTTCCAAAAGCTGGCATGTTTAGGTTTTTTCTTTCAATTCTGAGCAAATTTTTGTAATATGTGACGAAGTACATGTAGGCCTACTTTTTCCACCACAGTTTGCTTCGATCTTAAAATGCGACATTGGTCCAGTGGAAGATTTTTTGGGAAGTAATAAACACTCCAAGGAATCGGTTTCTAATTGGTGTTGATCCTTCAGATGTTACAATTGAGTTTCCAATAAGAAATAGAGGGGAATCAGCAACAAGAAATTTCATTGCAAGGAATTTGGCGTGTGGGAAAAACTCCCATGTACGTGTAGTTTTTATCGCTCACAATGTAGCACCCAAATGCTCAGCTTGTTAAGGAGTCAGCCAACAGTGGGCCATCGGTGTGCTGCAGACAAATTGGTCGGAGTACTGCATGGTGCCACTGCGATTCTGCAAAGCATGTGGGCCACGTCTCATCACAGACTTCAGTTTTTGGCAATGAAAATAAAGCCGCGCTGTTTAGGTTCCTTGATTTGGCATAAAACCACACATTTTTTTTTTCAAAAATTGACGGATCATTTATATGGCAGTCTTTTGGAATCGCTGGACTGTTCCTGAAATCAGATCTCAAGGTTATGGAATTGGCGGTGGCGTGGATTCGATTTCTCAAAAAAGTGGAATTGCAACTCCGATTCCAAATTTGGAATCGATTCTACCCGATTCCAGGGTGGATTCGCCCAAGCCTAATGGTCTGGTATTTGTAATAAAAATACTGCGATATTTACAAACACAACATTACCTGAAAAAGCAGCAACAACAAGCTGACATTCATTGGGAATATAAACAAAGTCTACAGGACAGTGCCAAGGTTGTTGTCAACTTGGCAAAATACCATGAACTTAAGTTTTATCATCTGTCAATCCATTTATTTTCAAATTTATTTCAGTATTATTTATGTGAAAGTGAATGGACAAACTCTGGCTGTTATTTGAGTGATTCTGAAACTTGTAATGACCTTCATGCCACTAAAATAACATGTGAAAATAACACTGTAGAGTGTAATACCTTAACTACCAAATTAGTAATTTATATCTGCAGATATAGATCTTTATAATGCACTTTTCAAGATGATATTGCTATGCCTGGGCATCATGATGCCACTTCAGTTCTCATCTGCAACACATCCCTGTCTAAAGAAGATACAGGTCTTTTTATTGTGCACCATAAATGTCATGTTAACTTGACACCTGATGATTTCATCATGACGTTATCTCAATTTTCATCTACATACATTGTAACCGTCTAGGTACCTGTAAGGTTGCAGCCAAAATGAACATGCCTTTCAGATGATATAGAGCTTTGAGAATGTTGCACCTTTAATTTACTGTAACTTGACACCTGATGATGTCATCATGACATCACCTCAATTTCATCTTGAGCACGTCCCTGTTAACATGTACATGTAAGTGCCTCCGAGGTTTCAACCCAGTCAGACCTGTTCAATGGAGATTTGAATAATGCACCTTATTATTTCATCTTAAATGTTGTGTAACTTGACACCTGATGATAGTAATAATTTATAATTTATTCATTTTATTTTTGTATGCTGTACAATGAAGACATTAAGCATGGAACAATGAATACATTTAAACGTGGTTGAGCTGATGGCATATACATGTAGGGGTGCCTCGGGCAGTCGCCAAATGACCCACATTCACCAACCTCTGTAAAGGGGAGACAGTAAGAAGCAGTTACAGTTTAAGAGAGGGAAGAAAACCCCAGAGGAATAGTCTGGATAAAACCCACAGAGTCAGGTAGGGACTGAAAACCCAATCCACACGTGGCCCGGGCCGGGAATCGAACCCGGGACCACAGAAGGCGAGGAAAGAACTACCTTGCCAACCTGACTCCCCATTATGATGCCATCAAGCTTTTGCAATTCAATGAATGTAAGTTTCTCTATTTTTCAACATTTTCCTTTCCGTCAGGACACATCACTGTTTGATTAATTACTTGTAAATCCCCTTTAACTCCGTAATTGTGCCCGGATATATTTTCTCTGAACGTGCACTGTAACTACATTTTTTTCTGTTTACATCTACCAGGATGCAGCAAATGGATTCCAGCAATCAAAGCGCAGTGGTCAAGCCAATGATGCTGCATACACTATTTATACTCACTCGGACTCTGACCACACACCACTGTTAAACTCTAGATCTACCACCAGCATTAACCACAGCCATGGCTCCAACCACATGCGTGCACAGCAGCTGCAGAGGGAGTTGGCATTCTCAACAGTTCGTCGACTCTTCTGCCTGGTTGCTACGTTTGACTTTCTGATGATAACAGTACTGTGGTTCATCTATGTCAATGTGAGGTTTGAAGAATGTGTGCATGTACATTAACTATGATTTGCAATTTACACTTGCACAATGCTAGTCAGGTAATTACAAGTGTATTGATGTGACAAGAAGTTGTTGACAGGTGTTTGTTTTGAAAAAAGAGACGGTAGGATTTTTTGAAACTTTTTTTTAATTTGCCGATAAAAAATTCTTATGGCTGCGCCGAAAAATTCGGGTCGGTTGGGAAACTGGAACTGGAAGTGCGATGGGATTACACTTTCATTTTAAAAATTTGGCATCTCTGATTAAATGTACTAATTCGATCACTACGCTGAACAATCCAAAAATTTACCCAGCACTAAAATCTACATACAGCTTGAGGTCCCAATCCGCTCTGAATGGAACAAAAGAGGGCTTGTTTTTTTGATAACCGCATAGACACACTATTAGGCGTGTAAGTATATGCACGTTAGACACAGAGCGTGTTGAGTGTGTGTTACTAATTTATTCTGGTATATATGGTCTTTGCGTACACTCAGAATGCATGCAAGATCCCGCTTTTTAACCACCTGTCTTTCTTTTGCCGATTGGGGGGTGCACTTCAGCTCGGGGTGGATAGGAGTGGATGAGATATCAGAATCATTCATGAAGATACTTGGCAACGTTGGGGTAACTTTCCTTAATGGCTGCCAGAAGTTATTTTTTGTTATATGTTATGTGCGGTATTGTTTTACAAAATTGTGCAAAGCACACATGCACTGCATGTCAGTAAAAATAACGCAAATCATCACAATGTCCTTTGCCAAAGTTTAACGGCAGGAAAGAATGTGAGGACAAAGTAAGTCCAAATTGGAAGAAAAGAGAATTGGCTTTGTAACCTAAGCGTGGTCCTTGTATGGTACATGTATACATAAACTAACCAGTCAAGATTGCAAAGATATTGACTGCATATACAGCCCTGCCAATTGTAAAGGTAATTTCTTCATAGCAAGTTTCTCTTGTGAAAGTATTACATTCTTTATCAATTTAATTCCTTTGGAACAAGGCTTTTAATGCTCTTTTTGCATTCTTTGATGTTAATGTTCAAATAGGCCTGAAACAAAGTAGCATAATCCTTCCCTGGGACAGCTTGATGGATTGTATTTCACCTTACTACCATAGGAAAGTAATCAAACTGTGACATGATCATGTTAAAGGTCTATTGTGCACATTACTCTCAAAGGCTGCTTCACTGCTTCACATGTAAACGTACCATATCTTTCTCTGTCCCTGTTGTCAAGGTTGACAGGGTTGCTTGTGCAAAAGGACCTAGGACCCCACAATTTGCCAGCACCTGCCTCATTGACTGTCTTCTTTCTGCCAAATGGAATTACATCATTTGCAGTTACAAATCTCTTTATGTTTATTTTCTTCTGTAGCTTACAAACTCGAATGTAACAGCCAGTCTGACGTGTGAGGTGTTGAAGTACACTGTAAGAACGTCACTCTTTGATTTTCCAGTTGTTGCAGCCTTTCGATGCGTCATTCTGCTTTTGGCATATGCACTGTTCCGCAGCAAGAGATGGTGGACCGTTGCTGTGAGTTTTCACCCATGGGGCTGAACAGTTTATGTTATGAACTGAAATTTCTTAGACTCATCATAGCCATTACCAATCACCGTTTCCCTGAGGAATTTGGTCAAGGATAATGGACCTGTGATAGGGCATCGAAAACAAGGTCCAAGCCTGTACATGTACCTGCAATGGGATTCTCTGTCCTGCACTATCTTCAGGGAGAAAGTGACAACCAGAATCCTAGATCTTTTTCATGCATTGTGGCAATTTTTACATGCTTGTGCTCTGTCTTTGCAAATTGAAGGAGGATTTTGAATTTTTATTTTAAAATGAAAAAGTACTTTCACCATTGGGAGGTCCTGTGAAAGTGCAATTTTCCCTTTTCCCATCGCTACTTAGCAGATCACGTGGTGGTCAGTCCAAGTTGTAGCTGCATACAGTGTGCCATGTGGACTTTGTAATTTTGATTCAGCACATGCACAAAGACATGCTGCTTGTTTAGTCCAGCCCTCAACTTCAGTTGGATGCTGATCAGGATTGTCCCTAGCACAATTGGTAGATTTGATGATGGGGGGCAGTGCTACAGTTGTGTAGTGATACAAAATGAAAGTTTGCACTCAAAGTGAAAGGGTTTTATTCTTTTTGTGTAAGTGTAATGGGACTGCATTGCTTCTGTACCTAAGGGGAAATAGGGTTAACTGTAACTGAAATGTTTCTCTTGTTTCTTGCTAATTAGTTGACCACCAGTCTATCATGCATATTTTTGATTACAAAAGTCTTCTTGTATGATTTTGAGGTGAGTACAAATCTTACAGTCCTTATTTCCTGTACGTGTCTTTCTTATTCATTGAAAGCAGTGTATTTGTGCAAGGCATCTCTTATGTAACTACCGGTAAGCCAAACCTTGCTTGAAATGTGAGGAAAGCAACAGTGTCTTTAGTAGGGAGATTTGTTATGTTCACGTGAATTTAATAAAACTCAGTGTATCAGATTTTTTTCAAATTTAACTTGCGGAAGGCTTATTTTCCCACTAGTGACACTCATGGATTTTCTAACCCTTCTTTATTTCTGTCAACAGTACAAGCATCATGATGATAATCCTTGTGTGCCTCTGGACTCAAAGGCACACCCTGTAGACTTCCTTATTGCTATTGTTTCCTTCATCATTCCATGGATAGAGACATGGATCCTAGACTTTCAGGTTATCTCCAGAGAGATGAAGCTCCAGCGTGGTGTGTATTCATTCCCCGTCTTGTAGATTGTCTAGTTACATGTCCCTGCAACTCCCAGTGATTGTGGGGGAGACCCCAGTTGAATTAGAGCAAAAAGTCCTTGTAGAAAAAATGTTCTAAAATGTCTGCATTGAAAAAATATTCTTTTAAATGTGAAATTGGGAAAGAAGTTTGGGTGAAATTTAAATATACTTTCCCCTGAAAAACTAGGTTTACAAATAAAATAGTCTGGAACATAGTCTCTTGCGAGTAAATCTTTCTTTCTTGCCCAAAGTAAGGCCCTAAGAGTATTTTCAAAAATTACATTTCTGTTTAAAGGACCTTTCAGCATTGCGGTGACAACTTGTGTACTGCATGTTTTCACTATTGATGCAGATTTCTACACCGTACTTACAGCATGTGGGATTTTACAGAAACCCACTGTATATTGAATTTATGAAGAGTTCAGACATATAGCATACATGGAGCAGGCCGTGGATAAAAGTGGTGGCTCTTAAGTGAACACTGAATTTGTTAATGAAAGAATTTTCCACTTCTTGTTGGCAAAGCCGAGGAAAAAGTTTGTTCATATTGTGGTAATTTCATTGTCAGTAAAAATAACGTTCCAGTGGATAAATTTTATATGCCGACTGTGTCACCTGTAAAGTGCTTGGGATATTCATTACTAGTGTTAAATCATATTATATGAGAAAAATAAAGATCGCTGTGAAATTGTAAAATTCATATAAAAATGTTATGTTATCTAATGTTGGTTGTTTTAAGATGTACTTCACTTTTTGCTACAGATCTTAGTAATCTGGAGAGGCAACAAAATGCTCCAGCAGAACGACCTTCTTTGCTACAACCTGAACCTTTTCCCGCCAACACTGAGCCAATCAGATTTTACTCCCCGGAGGGCTCTCAAGGTGAGAGGATTGGATGTCATTTGCTCCTTTAGCAAAAAGGGAGCATGAATATGGTGTTTGTGGCCAAGAAGCTTTGGGTCAGTCCATAGTGCTCCTTCAGCAGAAAGGGAGTATGATTACGGTGTTTGTGGCCAAGAAGCTTTGGGTCAGTCCATGCCAATCCAAACACCCTCCATGTGACCCAATTCAGATTTGCCTGAAAAAATTGTTGCGACACTCTGACATACAAAATTAAGGGAAGTAAAATTTCAGCTTGATATCTTCACAGTTTTCTTGTTGTTAGCTGTGACAGTTTGGGTGCAGTGCCTGTTTATGGCTCCCACAAATTGCTTATTTGTTTTATTATCTTTGAAAGCTGAAGCATGGTTTTCAAAATGTATTTTTGCATAGGGGAGATATTAATTTATGTAACAGGTTTTGCCCTTACCTAATGTATATATTAATAAACACTGTATGCTCAGTGCTTGTTCGAGAGCTTGCGAAAAAAGTCACAAGCTTACTTGGGTGGGACTCGAACCCATGACCTCCTGCTTACTAATGCATACGTCTTAACCACTCGACCACCAAGCTTGCCAGGGTCAGCTGGCCGGTCCGAGTCAGGTGAAGCAGTGGGTACCGCGAACTATTTTCAAGATGTATATTTGTGTTAGGAGATGTTAATTTATATAATGGGTTTTGGTGTCAGTGCTAATTCCGAACCGTATCTTATTATTCTATGATGAAAAATAAATCACCTCTTCTAATCTGTCAGTTACGTACCACGTAAATCCTAAATTTGTAGGCCGTTCAAGTGATTTTTTTTTCAGATTTTGGGAGTTTATGTTTACTTTTAAATTTTGATATTTTAAAATAAATAAGTTTAAATAAGTAGGCCTGCATAAATATGACTCAGAACCCTCGTTAATTGTGTAATCGGGTTACCTATATTTGCTTTCTCCGTATGTTTATCTTATTAGATGAAAATTATTATGCCAAAATGTGGTACTGTAACGGGATTCACCATTGGCCTGCTTGACACAAACGTTTCTTCACTTTATTACTTTTATCCTTGCCCACGCTAGTTACTTGAATTTCTTGGTCATTGCACATTTTTACATAGCTTCAGAAACAGGGAGTGATTCCGACTACAGTGAAAGTCTTCGTTCCCATGCATCAGAGTTCCAGTCATTGCCAAATAGTCGACAAGGAAGCTCAGTCAATCTTGCCGCTTCCATTGAGGTGAGATCACCAGCATGCTAGAACTTGCTATATGTACATGTAAACTATTGGGTGTTCAGCTGCTCTAAATAATCACCCAAACGCACTTAGCGATTGGTCTATTCTGCATGAAATCTCCAACTTTCCCTCCCTTTTTTTAAACATTCTTTTACAACTGTGAATTAGAAAGAAAAGGCAATTGACCGATGGCAGAATTATTGATAAATCATGCACTGAAATTAAACAATTGCCTAAAGATCGAGTGCTCTCGCACATCGACTGATAGCAGCCAATGTACATACATGTACATGAAAATGGTTTAACCATCAGTGGTTGGTATGATATTGAGAAATACACTGAATTTTACCATGGACTATGGTTGTGGGTGTAAATTACAAGATGCTTCCCTTAAAGGTAAAAACGCGAATCCCCTGTGAGCTGTAGAAATTGGAAGCCCTATTTTTGTTATTAATGCTGTCTTTATAGTGAAAATGTAGTAGACTTCATCGGGTTTGCCATCAGGTCTAGATCTTCCCCGTGCATATGTGCATAAACCTGTGTGTTTACTCTGGGCGCCTCCTTTGACCAAAAGTCTCACCAGTATCTGCTTCAGCCAGCTTAACCAGCTCATCAGAGCAGCGCTGACTATGCAGCATGTTCTATCTTCATCTGATAAGCTCCATCTATCTCAGTAACACCCTTGTACAGTTAACCATGAACCATTAGAAATTGGGTTCCATAGAGTGAAAGTTAAAAAAACTGGGGATATTTTATTTACATATTACATGTAAATGTCTTAGAAAAATCAGAAGGTTTCAATTTAGATTTGAAATAGCTGATATTGTGTAGCAGTTCAATATCAAGCAGGAGATCATTTTAGAGTCAAGGATCAGCAATACATGTCGTTAAAATGATGTACTCTGTCATCAATGTGTTAACATTTTTTGTTCATTTAAGACAAAGTCATAAATCCTCCTCACAATACATTGACATTGTGGTGTGATTTGTTAGAAAGCATTGAAATAGTAACCATTCCTGTATTATGTATAATTTCTGACTCAAACAAGGCTGATCTTCAGTTAATTTTATTTGCCCTAACTCAATACTCGAGTTCTAAGTCCATTTAAAGAAAAATGCTAACAATCACACTTTCTGTCTGTTTCGTACCTTGTCTCTCATTCAGGAGCAAGAGTACCTTCAGAAGGCGAAGGAGTCGCTACGATTACTGGACAGGATTTTGGCCAAACAAGATGGTTGGCATGATGAAGTGAAGAAGCCTGAACTTAATGCCATCATCAGAAGCAACAAATTTGACAACATCAAGGGCAAAATCTATAAATTAGAGGTATGATTAATGCTGTAATGTCATATTACTAGCTGCTGCCATCTGAAGCTAGAAGTTTTGCATTTGTGAAATGGTATCAAATTTGGAAAATTAGAGGAAATAGAGGTGTGAAGTGTGTCTGTAGAATGTTTCATTTGATGTGTTTGAAATAACAATTAAGTACAAAAGCTGTGAATGTTTGTATTACTGTCTTCATTGAATTAGATGTACTGGCAGTTTGTTAATCCTACCATGTTCCATTTTCCAAGACTTGTTTTATATAATAAGACAGTCCAAACATTTCATAACTACAAAGGTCTGAGCTTTTTTCCTCTTCAAACCCAACTGGGTCATTCTGTGAATTCAGGGTCCAATTGTTCCTGTCCTTGTTACGTCTGGCGTATGATATTTAAATGTTTAGAACTCATTATTAACTTTCCAGGAATGAATAAGTACTGCAAATTACCTGCTAAACAACTGAAGTACAAGCACTCTTTCTCAGAGATGAAACTTTTCCAATTTTAAATCAGAAAATCTCCCAAGAAATTCCAATTTCAGATTTCCTACAAAATTTCATTTGTAAGTAATAATTCCAATAACGTGATAACAAAAATGAAACAGTGGCAATGCATACACAATCTAGTTTAATGGCTTTCACCTGTTGTGAATGTAGTTAGCATTTCTACTGTAGACACCCACAGGCCAACACTAAACGATGCCTTTTCCGACAAAATAAAAGATTAAGAACCGAGCAGTATGAGAATTTGTGTGTGGGAGTAGCATTGGTAACTCAAGCTTACACTTCTGGTCATGACCAAGTCAATGACAAGTACTCTCCACTGCATATGCAGCGGGTACATGTTAATGTTTGTGAACTGCAATGATAATCTCTTGGAAATAGAAATGGATGTTGCAGATTGATCCCAGTTATGATTTGGAATATAGTGTAGCCAAGGGACTATTCCTCGATGTACATTAGGAAACTCCACGGTGGACTGTGCTGTAACAGTGACATGTACATCTAGGCCTACCCTATTCTTTTCCCCCCTTAAGTTGGTGTTATGAACGCAAGAATAAATCTATTCATCCTCACCTTAGTAAATTTGATAAAACATTTGTGAAAATCAGTTTTTACTGAAGGAAAAGTTTTTTATAATTTTCCCCCCTCAGGCCTAATCATATAATTTTTTGGGGGGGCGGGTTCATTGTTCTTGGGGATAAACCAGGTGCATGAAATCACATTGAAGGAATGTGGTCAGGCGCACATTTCTGACACTGATTTCGGTCTGGTGATATTTTGCGTTTTTGGCCAAAGCCAGTTCGCCTCTGATCTGATACACACATGTACAACTTTCACTTAGGGTTACTTTCCTATACTGTTATAAAGTTATCAATTTCCTCTTTTGTATTGTGTAAATCATCAGACCCAACTACCATCACCACCAGAGCAAGTCGTAGATGTACTTTGGGATAAAGTTGAGAATGCACCAAGCTGGAACCCGACAGTTCTTGAAAGTGAGGTTTTACAACAGATAGATGACCACACTGATATTTTGTATAATGTCAGCACTGGAGGACCAGGAAATATCGTAGCTGGCAGGTAATGTTATATGTTTATGCTTTTGTTTGACAACACAGAGATTCATGTGACACAAATACTGACTGTATACACCCTTTACGAGTACACAGATGTATGTCTAAAGAATATGTACGTATGAAGCTGAATGTTTTCACCTGTGCTGTTTGAAGCATGTGGTCCAGTGGTTAGGGTTTGTAATTCATGAACATTGGTTTGGGGGTGCAAATGTAGCTGCTGGTTACATGGTGTAACCTTGGGGAAGTCACTTTACTCCCTGCTTGCCTCTCTCCACCTAGGAGTATAAATGGGTACCTGTAAGGGCAGAGATACCTGTTGAGTTTTAATAACTGTTTGTGGCTGATGTGGCAGCATCAAGCTGTGTTCTCCCCGGAGAGCTGATTTTGTGTAAGGAATGTTTGTGGGCTTGATGAGCAGGGATAAGTGTACATTTTCAGTCAGTGTTGTTATTTATTCTATGTTGGTATCAGCACTTTGCTTAAAGTTTTAAGTCGAAGTTCTTAAGTTGCCCAGACAAATGGAATTTAAGGGTGGGACGTTTAAACGAAAAAAGTTCCAAATCCGTTTACAGATTTTCCCAAACATTTAAACAAACCGCCCTTTTTAGAGGTTTACCGTTTTGATTGACGTAATCAGGCGTTCATTTTAATTGCAAACGATGCCTATAAAATGTATCTGATTTTCAGAACACTTTACTGCTTGGTGATATCAAAGGAATACCATGAATTCATCACCAGAACTTTGTGTCAACTATTTACATTGTATTACAGTTTATTGTGTTTAAGGTTTTCAATGACCATACAAAAATATCTTTTTTTGTGAGTACCTGTGATTCTGGAAAGAAATGGGTTCTGAAAAGAATCCTGTGGTTCTTTTCAGAACTGCACATACTCACAAAAATATTGGCAAACATGTTACAATCAAGGTTGAGCAACTTTGAGTCTTGTACATGTAAACATATAGGACAGGCTTTTCTGTTTGCTACCCTCACTGATGCAGTATTTCATTCTGAGGATTCTTGAACTGTGAATTCCATACAGCTCGATAGAAAATGGTTTACTGCCCACTCTAAGAAGAGTGTGCTTCGTAACATTCCTTCTCGTCAGCTACCATCATTTTCTCCACTGTCTACTAATGACTCCCACATTCTTGATTGTCGTTGTAGGGACTTTGTGGCAGTGCGTAACTACTGGCAACGAGGAGATGTGCATGTATGTAGCAGCATTGCAGTTGAGCATCCCAAGAAACCTCCATGCAGTAAATATGTCAGGTTAGTTGGACTAGCATTGTAAGGCATAGCTGCCAAACTCTTCCGTGGAATACAGATTTTATTGTTAACGATTAAGGTAGGCATCTTCCTACAGTTATAAAACTATGGACTCTGTAAGGAAACTTGTGTACTTGCAGCAGTTGAGTAAGGGAAGGTGGGGCTACTGGATCTCTTAAGCACATTCTTGATTCTAACCATATTCAGTAATCTAGGAAAAAGATAAAACTACTCTTAAAACATGACCAAAACACTTGTTTGTTTATTGCAAACAGCTGAAATCAATTACATTAATAAAACTTATGAATATTAACTCATTTGAAATTCATGCAAAAGTGGACCACTAGCCCCACACCAGGGGCAAGTGGACCACATCATAAAACCTTAAAACTTGTCACCAAAAGAGTACAAAATGAATGTTGGAATGAGTAAATTAATAATAAAACACTGAAATTGGCAATCGTAATTGTCTTCGAAGCACCAGAGTTCAATTTAAAAAATTCTATAGAAAATGCCTATACCTTTCCTCCAGTCAGGTACTTTCTGGATTTAGGGATGTTAAGGTAAGTGTGGAGTTGCTTGGATTGGGCATTTTTATTATCCTAAATCATGATTTGAAGTTTATTTTTCAAGTTTATTTATATTTTTCACTTGGGCCTCAATTTATGTTCAGCTTAATCTCTGAAAAATAAATATACAGGAAACTCCGACTAAGTCGGCATCGCGTAACTCGTCATATTGTCTAAGTCAGCCTTTTGACAAAAGTCCAGATCATCTGTAATGCATTTCCATTGAAAATTTCATGTCTAAGTCGGCATTTATAAGTCGGTATAAAAAAACCTGCTTCAGTATCAGTTTCCTTCGCCATGGTTGCCAAGAAGTGTCAAGTGACAAGTCCCACACTGTTTGACTGATGTCTGTTTATTAGCAGCACAGGTCATGGTTGATAATCGCGGCCAGCATGAGTACATCAATACCAGTAACTCCTCTTGTGCTACATGCATGCGCTCTGTCCATTTTGGGGGTCGCCATATTGAACATAGTCTGGTTCCCTGCCCAAAGATTCTCTGACGACCCTTGATAATGATTCGTCGGGTAGTCGATGACCCACTTGCCCCACCCTCCCCTAGGTCAGCAATAAGCAATGGTAGAGTTTGGTTTGTTAACATACATGGAATGTAAAGCATGACCTTGCCTGTGTCATCTCATTCCTGTAATTTAATGAATCTGAATACTTACCAATAGATCATGTGCATTGGTTTAGCTGAGTTCAGTTCAAAGCGGAAATGCTTATGGCAAGCAGAGCACTCAACAATTTGTCAACCAAATGTACCAAACTTTGACCTGTGCTGTGTAGCCTTCAAACTATGTCACTGTATCACGTGAAGTGAATCATCAAGGACATTGTTATTGTTAGTTTTTCATGTTAATTAAGAGCAGCATATTTAAATGCATCACATTGTTTGAATTCTGCAGACAATTATGTGGAGGAACAGTGTTTGCAAAAGTAGCCATAGGGGTGTCTGACTTATTTGATGTTAAGTTGATTTATATCTCTTTATAGGGTGATTACGAATTAACCCTCCTTTGGTTTTACAGCACAAATATGTACGAGTGCCCACAGTCACTCTCTTGCATGTATTTTATATATGGAACA